ATGTTCTGTGGAATTGTCTCACGAGTTTCGCAGCTCATGCATTGCAAGGTTTACAGTTGTCCAGGATACCCAAAAAGTGAATATTATATCAGCTTCAAATGAAATTTGACATATCGAAAACAACTGGAAACTATTTGATGTAGGTGTAGTTCCTGTTGTAATTATCCTTGCTTATACTCGTTGTACACCAGAAGCGGGACCCACATTTACAGTACTTCTCGATCCACTTTCGCCCCGGATAAACACAGTCGCCGCTACAATTTTCGAATGCTTCTTTTTACGCTCCGGAAAAGAGGGTTTGCGCAACGCGCAATAACATTTCTCCATGCAAAACAACTGGGAGAGAAGGTCCGGGGAAATTTTCTTTTTTCTCTATCTCAACCTTTAAATGTTTGCGCAGTTTATGACCGCAGCAAAGGGGCTATTCAATCGATCGACGGACTCCAACGGAAAAAGCACACTTCCCAAAAATTTCGCCTCGGACAGCGTTACTAGCGCCGCCGTTATTACGCCGAAGAAGATGGTCACAGCCACTAGACGGCGGAAATTTACCGCCGAGCAGTCCGCGGAGCCTGAAGTTGGGACAAGCTCGATTGAAAAAAGGACGATCAACGGAAAGCGCAAATCCGCGCCAAACACCACCTCCTCCTCCAAGACGCAGGATAACAGCAAACGGCGAAAGCGGGGCAGCAGCAGTCTAGAGGACGTGCAGGAATCGGAGGACGACGAGATGGCTACGACGACGACAGCGACGACGACTACTAGCAATAAGAAGGCGAAGATGGTGGAGGAGGATAGTGATAGTGAGGTTCAGGAGGAGACGCCACATGCTGTTGCTGCTCCCCTGGCCGCCAAAAAGAAGCATTTCCGATTCGATAGCGAAGAGCCGGAAGTGCCTGAGATGGAGGAGGAAGTTGCGGAGACGCCGCAGGGCGTGGATGCGAATGAGGAGGAGGATAGCAGTGATGACGAGGCTCCTGAGGCTGTTGATAACTCCGCGCAACTGTCCAAGATTCGGATGGAGGCGAAGAGACAGGAGAGGGCTAAACAAATGTTCGTATCTTCTTTCATGTGTTCTCGATGGCACTTTAAACTCATCACTGACTATGGCACAGAGAGGAGCAATTGAAACGAGACAAGAGAAAACAACTCGACGATCTGCGCAAGCTCCAGGCGAAGTCGGCCAACAAGAAACGAGAGGCCGAGGATCAGCTATCAGAAAGCACCGAGACCCTTCAGGGTACCACGACAGAAAGTGCCCGGAGGTCTGCGCTCCCCGCTCTCCTCCCGGACGATATCCTGAATGCCGCCCCCGACGTTCGCCCACCGACCCCTCCCGCCGAAGAGATGGAGATTGTGCGACCCAAGCCCACCAAACTGAGGTTCCTGGAGAAGAAGGAGAAGGCCCCGAAGGATTTGCAGATGGGCGACGTCACGATCCGTGTGCTGGATAGAGATGTATCACGGAAGAAGTCGAAGACTGCACTTCCACCCAAGTCCTCGAAGAGCAGCCAGAACGCGAGACAAGCCTGGTTGAGTTCCGCTCGCAGTACGGCCAAGGTCAACGGGATGAGAAGAACGGCTGGCGGTTCCTCGGGGTTTGTGCGCAAATAGCAGGTCTTTGGCGCACGTAACTCCGTCTCGTTTTAGGGAATTTTTATAATGAAATCAAAAGTATATCCTGTATCTATTTCCTGTCTACATGTTGGCTTGAGCTCGGGTCTCCAGCGATGACTTCCGGGCGCTTTATATTTCTTCGCATAGTCCATATTGAGTCGAGGCTTTCGGATCTTCATGCAAGACAGAGTCTACGGAGGGTTTCTAGCTCTTAACTCGGAATGATGCCACATGAGAAATGCTCCATCATCCACGATATGCGCAGTCCCGATCTGCAGGTCAAGCTCGACGAAGCTGCCCGAACCCCACCTCGTAATGTATGCTTTCTTTTTCTTTTCTTTTCTTTTCTTTTCTTTTTTTTTAATTTTCTCTTCATTGCAGGGTATAATTGCTTTTGACAAGATGCGAACATATGACCGTTGACTGCAGACCTCCAGTTACTAGTCTTTTTTACTCAAGAATCGGCAGGACTGCGTTGGCGAAGCGAGGTGTCGAAGCTGAGGGGAAGAAATGGCAGTGCTGGGCGGGCGCACGTGCGGAGCAGGAGGAAGGAAAGGCAAAGAAAGGAAAGGAGGAGGAAGCTTGCCCGGTGGACTTCCAGTTGGAGCTAAGTTACTGCCATCCCATCCCGTCCTCAGACTTCATTTTCTCTTTTCTTTCCCTTCACAACGGCCTCCCCACCATCCTCGGTGACGTGCCTGCCTCCCGATTGTTGCTCAATTCAACAGAATCTGCTCTGTGCAGCATTCTGAATTTCCTCCTCAATTACCCACCATGGTTTCCATCACAGAGTCTTCCCCCCTCCTCCCCCAACATCAGCCGCCTTCCTCCACCAATACGTCACCGCGAGGAAACCGAGCCTCTCGAACGGTGACATTCAACCCATTGGCCACTGTCAGCACATATCACGATACTACCGCCGCAGACCCGACCTTCAGACCGCTTCATTCTGGTTCTTACCCTGCATCCAATTCTCAGAGCGCTGGCCCACCCCGACCGACCGGCTTGTCCGCCTTAAATAGCAAGCTCCGCCGCCGCAATAGCCATGGAGCACCTTACAGCACCGCCGGTGCCCCGTTCGCGACAGCCCCCAAGGTCGGACCGCAGCGAACGACAAAGAACGCACAGAAGCTTAAATTACTGCCCGATCCCGTGACCGAAGAAGAACTCGCCGACGGCGACTTTCCATCCGATGTCTACTCGCAGATCGCCCGCATCAAAGAACCGACCGCCCGCAGTCACGCTGCAAGTCTGGGAAAGGCGGATCGAGAGCGACTGCCCCGCGTCACAGCCTACTGCACGGCCAATTCGTATCGTCTGGAGGGGGTGGTGCGGTTTCTCAAGTCCCGCGCAAAGACCCGCGGAGCCAACCCGAAGCTCTACGATGAGTGCGTATACTCGCCATATGACTACGACTATGAAGCAAAGCAGCGAGGCACATGGAATCTTCCCAGCAACGGGTTGCATTCGCCGCAATCCCAAACCCCGATACGTCCTGCTGGAGAACGCCGGTACTCGGATAGTGTAGTGGAAGTGCAAGACAACACCAATACCCGACGGGAAGATCTTATCGACCTGAGAGATTCGGAATCGCACCATCCACAAGATGACCATGAGAGCGCCGTGGTCGATTCCACCGCATCGGCATCCCAAATAGAAGCTGCCCCTGACTTCGACACCAAAGTCCACACCCCGGAGGTGTTCCTCTTCGACTACGGCACCGTGGTTATTTGGGGCATGTCGCCCGCGCACGAGTCACGATTTTTATCCGATATCTCCAAATTCGCAACCTCCATTCTGAGTCCCGAAGACACGCAGGTCGAGAACTTCAACTTCTATTATGCGCGCGAATACCAAGCCCGGATCTACAACGATTTCATCTCCCTCCGTGACCCGCGGAATTACATGATCAAGCTCGCCATCTCCCATGCTCTCGCCCAGTCCGTCAAGACATCCCTGTTCGAAGATCTCGTCTCCGAGACGATCTCCAACACCGCACCACTCCCGGCCCAGATCGCCCAGACCGGCAGCGTGAATCTCACTCGGCGCCAGATCAACATGCAGGTCGGAGAGCTCTTCATCCTGCGAATCAACATCCACCTTCAAGGCTCCGTCCTCGACAGTCCGGAACTGATGTGGGCAGAGCCCCAACTGGAGCCTGTGTACCAGGCCGTGCGGAGTTACCTTGAGATGGACCAGCGAGTGAGTCTCTTGACGGAGCGGTTAGACGTCATTGCGGATCTGCTTGCCGTTCTGAAGGATCAATTAACTCACCGCCATGGTGAGTATCTCGAATGGATCGGTACGTCTCCCTCTCTTGGTTCTGCGGTTGTATACCTCTCTAATTCAATTCCTTTTTTCCAGTTATCGTTCTGATCGCCGCCGAAATCCTCGTCGCGGCCATTAATATTCTAGTCGACCTCTACGCCGGCGTGGAATAAAGCGTGTTTTCTGTTTTTTTAATCTTCCTCCGGCGTCAGGAACACGGCTTCCCTTTTCTTCTGGGCGATCTTCATTGTTTCGATAACCAAGATTTTCCTGATTGCTTATTGCTTCGCTCTCATCTCATTGGAATCCCAAGGGACTTCATGACCGGCATTTTTTTCTACCGTTCCAGGCGGACTTTTTCTTTGTTGGTGTGTCTTGCTTCAGGCGCTACAGGGGTTTCGCGAAGAGGGGGGATACGATTGGGGACATGTGTTGTAATCCTGATTTCTTTGAGCTTGTTCTTCCTTACTACAGGGAGGGGAGTCAGTCAAAGTTCTTGCATCATATCGGAAATTATGTTTTCTATGCATAGCCCGGGGCCTTTAACCAGCGTTCCTTGCTTTAGTTGTGTTTTGTGTGTTGTGTCTATTGTTTGCGACAATCAAAGTGAATTGATTGACCCTTGTTGTCTAGTAGAATGTTGGTGAGTCGGAATGGTGACTGTACCCTGTACTGTGTGTTGTTGTTCTTGTGGGGATGGGATGGGCTCACTGTTGGAGTTGATGTTGTGCTCAGCTCACTGCACCTCACTGACTCGGGAGTAATGAGTGCCTTCCAAGTTTGGTAGGTGTAGTAGCTAGCCTGCTGGAGGGTGGAAGCCTCTCGCCCGTGGGCATGGCTATTCACGGCACCTGGACCTACTTCCAGCGGAGTCAAAGCCCGCCAGCTGCCCGAGCCCATACGTACTCCTCTGCCAACCTTATATTTGTAAAACAAAGTAATCACATGACCGTTGTCAGTTTACACTCGAATCCAATCCGAGACAAGATGGTTACTTCATGCGCTTGTGGTGGATTAATCCACCCGGTCTCTAGAAATTATGGCACACATCCAGCAAACGGTGAGACAAGAGAAGTATGCACCCCCCCCCCCCCCCAAAGGAAGAAAGAGTATTACCTCGAGGCAAGAAGCGGATAAGGTAAGTAGGTGGATAGGCAAAATAGGTAAGAGGTTAAGCATCCGACACAGAAGGTAAAAACAACCCAACACGAGAAAAAAAAAGCTCCAGTTTCCCCAATTCTAAAACCAATTGGTTTCGCGCAAGTTTAACACTCACAGAGCAAATAAAACCAGTTTTCAGGTCACCAGTCAGTCAAGAAGAGAAGAAGATATAGCAAGCCATGGATGATGGTCTTTTGAAGTTTGTTTTGAGATTTGTCTCCCGCTCCGTAGCCCTTGTTTATACAATTAGAGAAAAGGGGAGGTGGGGAGATGGAGATACTCGAGACCCAGAAAGATGAGGAAATTGTGAAGATTAATTTGAGTTGAAGAAGAAGTCGCATAGCTTGTCCCTAGCTCTCCTCCTTCGGTTCCTTGACATCCACATCCATCGGCGTCGAGGAGGGTTCCACTGATGCGTCACCAGCCTCGTTCTCATTCTCCTCTCCCTCAGCTGCGGCGTCGTCATCATCGTCATCCGCGGCAGCGGCGGCAGCGTTAGAGGCTCGACGGGTTCTCGAGCCGGATTCCGGATTCTGACTCGTGCCGCGCTCATCGGATTCTGGGTGCTGGCCGGCCCCAAGCCGAAACGTGGAGCTCAGATCGTCCTGGGACGGGGCGGGGGCCAGCCGGGGCAGGGTGCCGTTGTTATCGGTGTTGTTGTCGCCGTTGTCGGCAGCATTGTTACTGGTAGCTCCGGCGGCGGCGGTGCTGCCTTCATCGTCGGCGCCGACGCCGTCGGGGAGGTTGGATTTTCGGGATCGTTTGACGCGGAGAGGTCGTTCTTGGGGCTATTACAGAGCGGATTCAGTCAATTGTCTTGTTGGTGCACACACTGACCCAGCATCGAGTCTTCTTTGCACGGCAGCCCGTCAAAGTGAAGCCACCGCCGCCCCAAAAGAGGAAAAAGAAAGAAGGATAAAACTCACAGTAGGAGGCTGCTCATCTGAACTCCCCTCCGTCTCATCATCCAGATACGCGCCGCCACCGCCGCCAGCGGCCCCATTCTTACCCTCCGACGATGCGGCCAGCCCATTCAACGCCGAGGCGTTGCTCATCAGCGCGACGGCGCGGGCCCGGAGTTCCGGGTTGGCGGCGGCCCCTGCCTGCGAGGACGCCTCCTCGGTCATGCCGGTGACCTTGGCCAGGCGCTCGAGCAAGATGCACGACTCCAGGCGCATCTTCTGGATGTACTGCCAGCCGCGCCGGTTGCGGACGCGCATCTGTTCGTTCTCTTCCTCGATCTCGTTGAGGCGCTTCTTCAGGGCAAGGCATTTGCGCTTGTAGGCGTTCTCGACGCTTGGAGGATTTGTGGTGGCCGCTGAGGGCCGGATTGTGGTGGATGTCGTGTCTTCCATGGTGAAGTGACTGAAAGAAGCGGCTGGGAGGTGATTTGGGAGGTGATGACGAGAGAGGTTGATTGCGGGTGGTTGTCGGGACGGAGATGCTTCTGTAGGCTGTACGGGACAGTAGGATGTCGGAGACTGGATCGCTGATAAATTTCGGTGATTGTGGAATTGGATAATGAAGTTGCTGGAGGCGGTGTCGCTTTAGTCGGAGATAATAGTCAAGAAGATTGACAAAGTCTGGTCAAGGGGCTCCGGAAGCCGCTGAATGTGTTCCTGGCAATGCGAATCCGATGGCTTCGATCTCTCTGCCCTGATGGCGCGAAACAATTAACGTGTGTTGCTGAGGATGGTGGGCCAATGAAGTGAGAAGTGCTGATTTTTCCAGTACCACACAAAGCCGATCCGAGCGAGAGATTCCACGGAAAAGAAGATGGAATAGAGCTGGCAATGGACGAGGTCGAGAGCTGAGGACGAAGCGAAAGGAAGAGGAAGTTGAGATCGCCGCGGTAATTCTGCCGGCCGACAGTCCAGAGCGGTCAGCGTTGACTATCTACGGACTATTATTTCACCTGTACATTCATTCCTATCGCAGGACCACTCCTTTGTCAAACGAGATTCCATTATCCACCGAACTCCTAACTATGATGAAATTACATACAAACAAATCCACTCTATTCATCAGAATACATTACGACCAACACCATCAATGTCCACCAGTCGTCGGCAATCCACAGAACACCTTGAATGAATCATAACTGCATCCAGCGTCAGCCCTTGAGCTCCGAGACCAACAAAGGAGGATACTCACATCAACCACTGGAATCCAGTCAAAGTACCGAGCATGACAATTCTGACCGGCAAGCCATTCCACAAGCCGGAGAATCCGATGTTGCTATAGATGCGCGACACGGCCGTCATCGCGCCCTCACCAGCTACAGAGTTATACCACGTTAGCCCTGAGTATTCACGACCCAAAGCAAAGGCCCATAATCTCAGAGATGGGGCAAACAAGAGCTTACCTTTCCGATCCGCATTTAGCTTACTGACCATCACATCCGCGGGATGACTGACGATCGCGCAGAAGATGCCCGCGATGTACCCGCCCAGGAAACTGACCCCGGTCTGCTGCAGCCCGGAGCACTGCTCCTTGGGCTTGCCGATCGTCTTGTAGAGCATACTGACGGTCTCCTCGAAGGTGGCGAACTTGGTCATCGTGTAGGGGATCTGTCGCGCCCACAGCGGATACAGGCCCTTGTACAGGCCGGCCATGCCCTCCTGGGCGGTGATTTTGCCCCAGCCCTCGCGCAGGCTGTGCGCGAACGGCGGCAGGGTGGTCTGCATGCGCACCTTGATCGCCTCCATCGGGCACAGCATCATGTCCGCGAAGAACTCGGCCGAGGCGCTGGCGCCCAGGTAGACGACGGTGCGGTTGGTGTTGGGGAAGAGCCGGTCGCCGTACAGGTACTTGAAGTACTCGTAGAAGCCGTACTTGCCGGCGCCCTGCAGCGAGTAGCCCAGGAAGGTCGGCGTCCAGCCGAAGAAGACCCCGCGCACGCCTTCCTTGGCCATGATCGAGCGCCATGCCGAGAGGTTGGAGGTGTAGATCTTCGGGTCGACCTGGCGGCGACATTTGACCAGGTCGAGCGGAGTCACGGCGGTGTGGGTTGGGCCTGTAGTAGTAATTGTGTCAAGATGTGTTCTCAAGAATGCCCTTGAAGAGGCGACTCGGATACGGTTTGATTGGGATGGAATTACTCACCACAAGCTACAGAGCAGACGAACAAGTTAGCTTCCTTGCGAGGATCAAGCCGAGGATGGGGGAAACCTACCGATAATGCCACCCAGCGTACAGCTAGCGAAATACTTGGCCGAATTGGGCTCAATCTTCCCAAAGGGAAGTTTGCGGTCTTGCGTAGCCATTGACATGATTGTATGCGGTTTATGAGGAAGGTAGGTGAGTGAGTGACCGAGGTGAGCAACGTGAGTGAGTGATAAACGTTCGTTTTATCTACAAAAGCACCAAACCAACTCCAGAGAGGGGGAGGGGAAAGAGGGACAAGCAGCAATCGAAGAAGGGTATCAAGTTTGGAGAACAATTCTCTCAATTGAAAGGAGGAGTAGCTGACTTATAAGCTCATGCGGGCCAGAACCGGCTTCTCAAGATAGATACCTGGACTGTGGAGGGTAACATGTCGTCAGTGCAGCCAGCTGTGAAGTCAGTCGAATCAGGCACTGACTGCATTGACTGACTGCTGTAACCAAATCGGCTAAACCGGCATGGCGACGGCTTATCCTGTGCGCTGGAACCATCCGAGCAGCCGAGTGATAGTTTAGTTATTAGTCCCTGAATTGGCATCGAATTGACTTGCCAGATTTCCATAGCCCATTCTTCTTCGGCTCTTCGTTGGTTGTTCACCCAATGTCTGCGTGGTTGCGGGATCTATGGTCATGACGTCAGTCGCTGCAGTTGAGATAACAGAGTTATCCGTGGCTTGCCGGAAGGGGAACATTCCCCTCGTCTACTACGTACATACAGTATCTATCCACTCAGGGTCTGAGAAGTATGCTCAAGATATAATTGGATGTAATCATTGATACACCTTGATCTGAGAGGAGAGTTAATACATCACAAGCTATTTGTACATCCAGCAGCCACTCTGGCAGAAGAAGTATACAGAACTTCATCCCTAAACTCTAGTAAATCCAATTGGAAGGATTGACCATCAGTCCTTCACGAATACTCCAGAGCAAGACGCGACCCACTACTCGGCGCAAAAGATCCAAACATCAAAGGCATCATGCCTTGAACCCCCTCACCAGCAAGTACAAGGGCCAACTTGATCCCGACCTCGGAACCCTTTTCCGCCAGCGCCCGCCGGATCTGCTGGGCCTGGGCTGGCGTCGCATGTCCGCACGTCAAGATATACCACAGAGGCCACATCATATGGTAGACGTTGAAGGCCCGAATCTGCGATGCCCCCTGCGAAGCCAATGGGTTGCCCAGCTGATCGATCGCCCCGAACGAGAACGGGATCGCACGGCACGTATCGCCGATTAAGCTTCGGATCAACCGTGATCCCTCGGCTTCCTGTCGGACGGCTTCTCGCTGGATGCCGCTCGAAGGCACAAGCGAGGTCAACGTCTGGACGAATTCGAGGATCGTAACCTGTAGCAATATGCGAAGGGCATGATAGTAGGACCAGATCGACGCCGAGAATTGCCCTTGGTAGGTCAAGACATCCTCGCCGGTATGCGACCGGCAAGCGTGAGGGAGCCAGCTGGTCGGCAGGCTTCGACTCCACTCTGCTAATTCGGAGTCCAGGGCCCTATAAATCTCTATCCTGGAGGCAAGAGTGGTGATGACTCCAGGATCGGTGGTGTCTGAAGTCAAGGGATTCTCGAGGGACATTGGATCAAGCTCGTTCACCACCATTATCAGCCGTTGTAAAGGATCGGCAGGATCAAGACGCATGACGAGATCATGAGTACTGAAGCGTGGCTTCTGCCGCAAAAGTAAAGCTTCAATGCGCTGCAAATCGTACAGTGGTCAGCATGGCCCCTGGAGGCTGAAAACCACTGATTGGAAGGGTAGATGCACGGGGTGTATGTAAGCCTACCGTGTGAACATATGCAAACTTAAACATATCTAGCCCCTGCTCGTTGAGTAGACTCTCGCCCCTCAGCTTCATAAGGGCTTCAAAGCCCACAGTGTGGGAGCTCGCAAGCCCATTCCGCTCGCCTGAGATATCTTCAAAGAGTGCGAGAATGACCACGGCTGCAAAGGTATCGTCCTTGACCCGTTCGATCGGCGAGTCCAACGCCTGACGCAGTCTTTGCGCCGCCAGAGCAACCCGGTGTCTCGCTTGTGTGACCAGCGAGGGCGCCTTGACCTGATTACCCAGGGTGAGCAAGGCTGCAGCGTCAACCGCGAGACGCAGACACGAAGACGCTGGCTCCACGGCGCCTAGCCCTCGATGACAACCCGCATACAACCTCGGGATAAATCCCAGGTGACTGCCACCTTCAGGCTTGTCACAAGCAGTATATTGGTCAAAGAACAAGCATACTGCCCGTTCCTCCCATGGCGACTCAGGGTTCTGATATATGGACAGAGAAGACATGCGCTGGGTACCATCGGGAACTCTCTCTCGAACACCATGGGCGGGACAAGGCTTGTTGCCCTTCCTACTTCCTTTGACCTGGCCCGTCTCGATCTTGAAGATCGTGTCTGGTCGGTACCCCGGGCATGATTCTCCGTAGACAGCGCAGTTGCGGCATCCAGGATGCGCCTCGTCACACTAGGAGCTGCTTAGCTACAATCGCATCCAACCAGGTAATGATTAAGACTAGCCACCAGATAGCTTATACCACCAATACGAGTGGACATCGGGTGGATTTGCTGGCTGTCGTCCTACCTTTATCTTCCGTTTGCGACACAGGTAGCAACCTGTACTAGGTTTGCCCCCGTATACCATAATCGACTAGTTTTGAGGGGCCGGGCCCATGTGAACAGCAGGGTACAACTGGCAGGCTTCATACGTCGATGGTGCATGGAAGTGGAAGGATTGAGGATCGTCCAGCCATGCAGCCCGCAGTTTCGGCCAGATTCATAGCCTATACTTGTTGCGCAGACAAAAGAGGTGTGACTAGCGCCAATGATGATGATGTTGTGGAGGGGTCGCAGCCTTCTGCTCAAAGGATCCCTGCCTCTAACTAGTAGAGTGAGTCAGGTGACCACATCAACTTTGACAAATGGATCAAGTACTCCGTACTGTACTCTCTCAACTGAGACAAAACCAAGACATTACACTTAGGATGGATCCACAACACTGGCACATAGGATTAAATCTTCTGTAGATCTGAATACATCTTCCCAAGAGAGGTATCGTCTAACCCTCGTATGATAACTAACACACAAAGCACATATAGAAAGCATGGAACACCCCTGGGGTTATTCCTCTCTGATACTCCAGCAGCACAAGAAAAACCCCAACTGCCACTTATTTAACTCCACACCACGTTTCCAGCGGGCTTGAAGAAGAGAAAAGTCACAATTCAAACAAAATGTCCTACCCAACACCCAAAATGCATATATGGAAGAAGAACCAGGCACAATCGGCCCTGTTCCGAAATCAGTCATGCTGCCTACATTCCACTGGAGCCAACATCAAGGGACAGAGGTGATGGCGCTTGAGATCATTGAAAGTTGGAGAATAACGCGTCCTCATAATATCAATTGTACGGCTCATCTTGCCATCAAGACAAGGGAGCATCCACCATTGACTGATCGTTATCACTGCTTATGGGCAGCGTGGGAGGGAGGTCAGAAAAGCGTTCTCGGTGTCGATTTTCAACTGGGCTCATGAAAGGCCCTGGCGTGCTGGCAGTGCTTTCGATTGCGGCTTCGTCTCCGCTATCTTCGGGCGGCGCCGAGAAATTCCATACCTACGAATGCCATTAGATTCTGTTCTTACCAATTTGGAATAACAAAGGGGGCGCTTACCTCCATGACCGTTCGCCCTGACCTATTCGCCATAATGACTGCTTTCTCCGCCTCAAAGGCTACTCTCCAGACAGCCTCGGCCGGGGTAGATAGTTCCCGCAGTAGTTGACCAGTCTCCAAGCTCCAGATCTTGACACGTCCGTCACTGCCACCGCTAACGATACGAGAGCTGTCAAACTGCAGGCTTGTCACGCTGTTGTCATGCGCTGCCAGCCGATGAATGGGTGTATTCGTGACCAGCGACCATATCCGGATTGCGCCGTCGGAGCCTCCAGTAACCAGCGTATCGCCACGCATCTGTAATTGTCCAACCAGAGACGTGTGGCCCTGCAAGATGCCATTACATTGTCCGGTTTCAGGGTCCCACATGCGTACGGTAGTATCCAGACTACCTGTTGCGATGCGCTTGCCATCAAAGGCGACCGCATATATCTGGCTAAAATGACCTGACAAAGTCCTCAGGCACCGTCCCTCAGATATGCTCCAGATTCGTGCCGTGGTATCGTAGCTGCCGGAAACGACAAGATCGCCATGTATGGCTAGGCAACGAACACTTGCCTGGTGTCCGACCAAAACATTCTTGCAAGTGCCTGTGGAGAGATCCCAGATCCGCAGGGTCGTGTCTCGTGAGCCGGAAATAGCCGTGTTCTTGTCAGACATTTTCAAACAGCGCACTGTGGACGTGTGGCCACGCAATAGGTATATTGCAGCCCTAGTGCAAACAAACCATTAGTAATGAAATAATCCATGATCTGCTCGGAACTTGCTTGGTGGTCGGCTTACCCTGTGGCCATGTTCCACACCCGGACTTCTCGATCGCACCCACCACTTACAAGAATATCATCCCATGGGACCATAGCCCAGACGCCCATTACATGGCCTTGAAGGGTTTTCTGGTTGTCTCCATTGGTATCATACACATGAATCTTGGCATTGTCGAGCGCAACCACGATATATTTCGAAGTCAAGTGGAGGCTCGTAACCACTCCCTGATCAGGGCTCATATGTCTTTGCGTGCAGCGCCCGCCTTTATTCCAAGCCGATTCAACCATGTATCTCTGTTTGAAATGCGATCTGTAAGATACGGGTCGGACCCGCCGTCTCCGGGACGAGTAGCTCGATGAGGAGAGCCAGTCTCCAGATAAGGAACGTGGGAGTCCCGGAAAGCCGTCCCGAGAATGGAGGCTGGACACCGTGGACGTGCTCTGCAACGCGCTCAGCGAATGAGTGGGAGATACAGCATGGAGAGGCTGGCCGTCAGCAGGGTCCACAATGTCTCGATCGTCATCTGAAGGTCGTTGGTAGGCATATGAATGCTTCTCGCACAGGTTCATCCAGGTGATGTCATCGTTTAATAGTTCGCGCCATCTTTTCGAAACTTGTGATGCTCTTGCTAGCGTCTTCGGATCATCGATAAACGAGAGAACCTAATGAAATTGAGTTACACGGGTCAGCAGGGTCACAGCGGCTAAACAAGAGCTCGGGAAGATGGCCACATACCCGCAAACATAGTTCGTTCGGGAAAACCTGGAAGGGGTCTTTCCTTAATCGGGGAACAACGAAACTCCAGACAAAGCTGAGCTGCTGAGGATCACATAGACCGAGAAGTCCTTCGAGGAATTTTTGCTTCTTGGCGTTGGTTAAAGAGGCGAAGTGCATCTGAGTATTCAACAAAACATCTTCATCCTCTTCTACGGTCGTCGGCCAAGTCGGTGATCTTTGGTGAGGGGTCGGACTCGGAGCTGGAGTAGGGGGGGATTCAGGCGCCGCAGGCAGAAGGTTTGCTGGGATCGGAGGGCCAGGCTTGGTTGAGGAAAGCGATCTCGAATGTGTACTAGAGATGGAAGGAACTGCATTCTTGGCTATGCAAGACCGATTATGCGCCGTTGCCATCTCGTCAGAAACACTGTGCGGACTTATGATTCCGTCATCTGCTAAATCTTGAGTGCTCATGGCGTGCCGCGCTCGATAGCGGCTATATCATCAAGTGATTTGCGCGGGCCACCAAGCTTGATTGTCGCACGTCGATTGTAACAAGCCCAGACTAACCTCCTGAGACTTCAACACATTCGCGGTAAGATAGCGTTGATTGATGTCGAGTGAGAAGAACGAGAGACAATGTTGGAGAGTTGGGAGATGGAGATGAGTGTATAAGGAGACGGGGTGGGAGGGAGGGAGCGAGCGTGAAGGGCAAAAGAGAGAAAGATAAGACGGGGGAGGTGGGTGCTCTCCGGCGGTAGTGATTGTGAGGAGAGGAGGGAGGGCTGACGATACGGAGTCAACGGGGAATAGGGGGGGTGGCAGGACCAGCAGATATCAAGTAGTGACGGGCGAGAATATTTTATATGATAGAGAATGGCAGGGCAATGGGATGGATAAAAATAACAGAAAGAAAATAGAACCAGAAAAGAAAAAGTTTAAAATGAAGACTGGAGATCCGATATCCCGCGCAGAGACAGCGGCAACAGTCGCAGGCGAACGTTGAATGGAAAGTGGAACAGAGAGAGCTTGGAGACTGGAGAGGGGGAGAAAGACAGAGAGAGAGAGAGACAAGATTATTACGCTTGACCTTTTCCCGCCGACGACGCCATCCAGAAAGAAACTGGGTCTGCAAGTCAGAAACGGGGGTGGTGGGGACGTGTGGACGAGACTAGACCAGACTAGACACTCAGACAGAGACCGATAGACTCGACAGAGATAGAGAGTCCCAGGCTAGGAGACAAGTCAAGACAAGACAAGAGACAACCGAGAAGACGATAGGAAAGAGAGGGGGGAGGAAGAGGGAGCGGGGGGTGGGGGTGAGGGTTCAGTGGATGAAAGACTGTAGCACTGTACAGTACGTAGGTAGTCTAGTGGAGGAGGAGGAAGATGGAATGAAGCAGGACAGGACAAAACAGGAGCGGACCTACAGGACCTACAGGAGCAGCAACGCTAAAAGCAGAGTCAGTCTACTGTAGGCACTAAGCACTAACTTACGGGCTGGCAGGACTGGGGCTGGGGCTGGCTGGAATCATGCGATGTCGTAAGACGGTAAGAGAGACTTCGAAAGAGGGTCAGGTGCAGTCCCTGAAAGGTTTAGTGTGGTTCAGGGAGGGCCCGAAGCCGCCAAGCCACTCATTGAACTCATTGAATTAGACATACTGTACAATCCATGAGACAAGTACCGGTAAGATACTGCAGTGCTGTACCTACATGCATGCACATAACTGTTTTCCCTCCTCCCTCCCTCCCACTCTCTATCCCTCTCTTCATCCCTCTCCTCCAGGCTCCTCCTCCCTTCTTCCTTGAACAGTACTCGGAATCCCGCTCCCTGCCTTCTTCTCCTCTTCTCTACCCTCCTCTCGTATCCCCCTGCTTGTTCAAAATCTTCTACTCCTCCTTTCCACTCGTCGCTCCTACATGCGCCTGACCTGTAGGATGTGGACCCCTGCTTTTCTCCACCCTCCTTCCATGCATGCGACACATCAGCGACCAGAAGATTAGTTATGCGATCACAAGCTCCCACACTGGCAATTTTCAAAGGAAAATAAATAGACAAATAAATAAAACATAAATAAAACCCCGCCACCAATGAGAGACGACCTCCGATGGCCTCTGAGGTCGTGCGTGCCCTATGCACCATCTGTCGTCAGAGGCAAATGAGAACAAGATGAAGAAGCTTCTCCAGGTACTGCACATAAGTCCTACAATCTCCGAAACAAGGCCAACTCCTTCCAGAGTCAACGCGGAGAGATAACTAAGCTTACCCCTGTCCGATTACAAATCTGCCCTCCTC